ATTTTTACTAAAACTTGTAGACGTACAAGCGTTAGCGATGGCCCAACCTGTTCGCCAGAAGGAAACCAAAGACGAGGAATAATAATGACGAAAACAAGAATCTATTTGCAGATAAAACTGTACACTTTCAAAGTCTTAAATTTGAGGGGATGGGACAGGTTTTTTTAATAACATTTGGAACATTTTTCCCTCTACTTTGGATTCCGTAATAGCCGTCTAATTATTTTTTTGACTATTCTGGCATTTTTCTTCATTCTATATCTCGTATCAAAACTTAAGAACTTAGAAAAATAAACAAAGAAATTTCATCGGGAAAGGAGAGCATTCCAGGGAGAGGGAGGGAGAGAGAGAGGCAATACAATAAAACATTCTGCAGCAAAAAACAGATTTGTACAGTCTACAACATTCCAAAACCTTTTGAGTAGTTAATCGCCTTCATGAGCCTATCGTTCAATTTTTCTTTACTTTCATATTCTGGCAACAGAAGAACATTGAAGCAAGTGTGAGCAGTCGGTAACCTGGAAACAAACAAACAAACAAAAAAAAAGGTACGATCAAATTTCGAGTACATTTTTACCATTTATTTGACTATTATTTCCGTGCCACCGAAGTTACCGTCCGTGAGTACGAACCTGTCGGAATCTGGACCGTTTCTCGCTATGATCAATTTCAGCTTGCTCAGACCTCCCACAGGAACGCGGTCGCTGCCGGTAGCAAATTGGAGCAGTTTCCTCTTTGATTCAAGAGGCATCTTATGAACGATCTCCCAGAAGTTCCGGATGATGGGACTGTCCGACGTGTAACCACCGTCGTACTCCGTTGCTTCCTCCAGCTCATTGAAGTCGAAGTTCTTGATTGGGGGAACGGAAAAAATTCAGGTATTATATCGGTGGATCTCCCTTATATCTGCTCCCTGCGAGTTCTGTAGTTTGAAATTATTTCCAGAATTCATCGCCATTCCAGGTGAACTAGTTTGGTCTCTAAAATAATAATCCGTGGCGTAACAGCCAAAGCCGACTAGATTGACTGCTGGCCTCACGTTCACATGCCTAAGCAGAGGTGAACGATCAACCAACCACATATAGGGCGACGTGTGGTCAGCACGACGAACCCCCAGCCATTGCTAGCTTTCCTGACTGGATTACGCTACCCATTGTAGCTCCCCAATTTCCTCATGATGCTGGGTTGGCACCGGTCCCACACACTGGTCGAAAGCTCATGAGAAAATTTCTTTCCCCGAGATAAAAATACAATTTGGGGGGGGGAGCTGACGAGTCTTTCAAATCTATAAATTCAATTAAACAGAACTGCGTTTACAGGAACGTCTTACCTTGCTGCCACACACCAACTGTTCCACTTCCTCAGGCCTGAACAGCAGATGAAGTGGTGATTCATCTGTCACCATCTGGAAGCCGCGTCTGAAAGCTCTAAATTGTTTTTCTACCGATGTGTTCAAGAGGAAATCGGCGTATAAGTCGACAAACTCCTGCAATATGAATGACAATCATAACAAATGGTAATCTCACAAGATGTGCGCAACGCGATACAAATCGCGTCTGCCGTGTAAGTACTTACCGAACTCCAAAGATACAACATTAGAGAATAATTAATCATTTGTTAATGTTATTTCTCCAAGTTCTAGAACAGAAAAAAATCTGCTCTTTATTTGTAAAAAAACAAAACACAAGAAATTTCTTTGAAACGGCTCTAATCTAATCCTAATTACCCCACCTTTTTGTTGTCCTGGCACACATATACTTGATCACCGCCTTCCTTTAACTCATGAAAGAAAGTTGTACCAAAAACATCTTGGTAGCAGATGCGGAACGTCTGCACAAAAGTTTCTTCCATGTCGTCAGCCTCGTATTCAAGCATTCCTTTCAGTCCCGTGAATAAAATCTGAAAAGTAATCACCGTGACGCTCGGAAAATAAAAACATGCGAGCACACTTTGTCATCTTTGTGACCCCACAGCAGTCAAATTCATTTTTTAAAAAAATGTTAATAACTACATAAAATAAACTCTCTTTAATTACAGAATTACCAATTAAGAAGGCGTGACATTTTAAATAAATAAAAGAAATTTGAAATTTCATTAAGTTTAAAGTTTAAAAAAATGTTAACAAATTCTCTTGAAACTTAAAACAGAAAGTACATTTAAGTCTTACTTGGTTCCAGTCTTCAAGGTCATAGAACGTGCCCTTCTTGCCCATAAGTTTCCGATAAACCACCATCGGAAAATGGACATCCAGGATAATATTGTTATAAATTGCAAGTCCGAGCACAATTCCGATTAGGGTAAACTGAGCATCGCTTTCGAAGGAAGTTGGATTAAACCACACGGTCTGCGTCTCATTTTGAAAAGTGAACATTCCTATAACAAAACACGATTTGAGACAAAATTACACGGGAACACACAACAAACAGAAACTGATATAACACGTGCGTTGATCACATTTTAACCCTCGTCCACATTGGCTTCTGAAAGTTGATAACAAAATACGATTTTAGGAATACATCTCTGCAAGTACTGTACCAAAATGACACCACAAAACACCGATTCAGTCAGCGGTCAATTTCTGGGAACGCGTTCCTAGAGCGTGATGAGCTACGACTCTGCCGTCATTTCCCGATTCATAATTGCTGGCATACAACATTAAAACTTACCATAGTCTGGGTTGAAGATTTCTTCCACGATCAACTGGAAAAATTCTTTCGACACACCACCTTCATCAATTCCTTGTTCGCCTTCGAATTCAACGACCAACTGTTTCTTTAAATCTTTTGGATTTTCCATTGCTACCATCTCCAACTACAGCAAAGAAAATAAAATTTTTAACAAAAAATATGAAAAAAAAATCATATACTTTTGGCATAATCATGAAACTTACAACGTTCCTGCAAAAGAATAATTTAACGTGACTTTGTTCGAAACACACAGCAGCAGGTAGTAAAAGAAGCAGAAAACAGAATTAGGTAAATTTGACTTCTTCAAAAAGTAGTTTGTGCATTTTCCTGTACATCCGCGACAAGTCAGAAAGTGTGCAGAATACTCAAGTCGAGAAAACAGATCCAGACACAAACGCATTAGGACATAAATTTCCTTTTGTGGCGCTTCAATTGATGGGAGTATCTTTGCCATCGTCCGTTCTCTGCGTCTTTGGTGATCATAAAAGAATGATCACTTAACATTTGTGAATAACGAGAGAAACGCACGAGACACAACGTTCTCACAGCAGTAAAGATGTTGACGTTGGTCTTCTGGTTTGTAACGCTGTGTAGACGTGTAGATAACAATGTTTTGGAGAAACAAACTTCCACTATTTTCAACTCTGGATCTTGAAAAAGATGACAATACCTCATCATATAAGACTGTCTCTCACATGTCAGAAAACAGCTGATTACAAGTGACAAAACAGAATTAATGAAAAAATTCAAAGGTCTGTTGGCTTAAATTTTCACTCATCACCGCTAAGCAGACAAATTGGTTTTTAAGCCATAAATATACTCTTTTTTCACTTAATTCTTATCACCGCAACTAATTGTATATGTCATATTTTTCATTTATACTTCAGAGATTTACTAATTTACAAACAGTTCAAAACGTAAATAAAATATACTAATTTATTAAAATTCCAAAGCATTTGCAATTTCTAAACTTTATGACATACACAACTGCCTTAAAGTCATTCTTTAATGGAATTTCTATATAGAATTTTCTTAAAATAAAATGTGTAGAAATTTGGCAATTTTATTGAAATTCAATCCCCGCTAAATGACGAGCGTTTAAATTATATATTATTCTAATCCATGGAATTTATCAGCTCAACAGAATGTACGAAACCTACCTCCACTAGCGCATCATCTATGATGTGATCTCTTCTGACCTTGAGCCGGAGGTACGGATTTGTCGGCTGCCCGACCACAGAATGAAAGAAGCTCATCCGTCTTTCGCTGTACATTCGTATTCTATTGTCATAGTACAGCCCCAATGTTTTGGTTGCGGGTGTAAGAATGAATGCATAGTTCATGAAGCTGAACTTTTTTGTCGGCTGTGAAGACGACGTCGCTGATTCGCTCTTATAATAGGCAAAGTCCTTGTCCATCTCGATAGCATCACTAAGGGGTTCGTTGTAGAACTCGGTGAATGGAAGATATGGACATCGCGAGTCAAGAACATTAACTTGTAGTTCTACTCCTAGAGGATCGTCGTGCTGTGGTGGGCGAGGGTTCTTATTACCCGAGATGGTACTCAGTAGAGAGTCATCTGTGGCAGCACTGCAGTCTTCCTGCCGTAGTTCTGGCGGATCCAATTCCCCAGCCAAAATATTGGCATAATACACCACCTTCAAGCACAATGGAGTACATTAGCAATAAAAACATGCCCCTTCATAACGATCAACTGCTAATCAATCACATTTATATTATTTCCCAGTACGACATACGCTTTCTATAGATTCTTTACATCAGTGGTCCCCAACGCGGTGCCCGCGGGCGCCATAGCACCCGCCAAGGCATTTTTTGGGTGCCCGCGTTGTTACGTAAAGAGGTTATACTGAATAATGAAGGCCGTTCAACCATGAACATTATAAAATCAAAGCGCGGATCTCGACTTACTGACGCCCATCTTGACGATTGTTTGTGAGCAGCAACATCATCCTACACTCCCAAATTTGAAAAACTGGCCTATGAAATGCAGCGCCAAACTTCCCACTTGAGTAATAATAATTGTACTTATAAAAGTACGTATTTTTAATGGCGTGGTTTCTTGTATCATTAAACGTCGTGTTGTTTTGCGTATTATTTGGTGTCCATATCTTATTTGTCCAGAGAAAAGAAAATTTGGCTTCGTTAATTGGTCGGTGCCCGCCACGATCTCATAAACTCTCAAATGTGCCCGTAGACACAAAAAGGTTGGGGACCACTGGTCTACTCAATGCCTTAACATTCACTATTTTACAGTGTTCCTCTCTCCAACTGCGATTATAAAACCTGTCCGTTAACACAACATGAACGCATTTGAAATTTTGCTTGATTTTGCCCGAATCTTCTGGTTCTTCTTAAGATGTTTCCGCTTTAGACTACCTGAACGAGGCTAAATTACGTCTGTAGTCAATTCCCTTAACCTGCTTCGCCAGTTTCCTCTCCTGTCTGTCAGAAGTGTTTGCTTAGCGTACATGCATTAAGGAAAAGTTTCTCAACCTCATCCTGACTTTGCGCGACTCTCGCCATTGTTCAACAGCTCGTCGGCCGCAAAGATACAAATCAGGACAATTTATTAAGAATGCCATTGAGTCGAGTCTTTTTTATCGCTGACAGACTCACATATTACTGAGGTACCTGATACTGTTTTTGCTTAAGTAATCTTTCAGTACCATGTTTAATTTAAATTCTTGCAGTGCGCAAGCCTCCCTCCGAGTATTTGTCGTTAAGACAAGTTCTAGTTCTCGACTTCTCGTACTTCGCTACGCTGTACGATTAGCACAGGGACAGATACTACCAAATACTGACAACACTACCAAAGCTTTTTACATCGACATCCTTCAATTTACGAATATAATGCAAGCCAAAGAAAACAACGCTAGCAATCTCAATATGTTTGTATATCAGATTATCCTAAGTAAGTAGACATCATACCTTCATCAGTTTTGTCGGTGCTGTGATTGTTTCTTCGTCCTGCACACAGTAGTCTCGCGAGAACTGACCTGAGATGACTTTGAGTGTCACAAGTTGCTGAAGCGCTTCGAGCATCCCTTTAAGACGCGAGCGACAATTTCGAGCCCAGACCTGGGCGAGACGAGCCTGCACTTTCAACGGGAGTTGTGACGCAGCCTTGCATACCAGTGGTAGTGCCATCTCCAGGTACTCTGATGAACCAAGAGCAGGGATCTCCAACACAATCACAAACACATTCAGCAACTCCTCAGAATCATCCCTGTAGACTCGTCCAAACACTCGAAGGTCCAACTCCAAATTCTCAGAGAGCGTACTGAGTGCTTGCACCAACGCACTCTCAAAAACATTCCCCGGCACCTCAAAAAGTGCCTGATATGCACGACGGAGTGATGGAATATCTACCTTCAGGTCATCAGAAGGACTTGTACTCTTTCGGCTTCGACTACTTTGTGAGCATTCTCCTTCCTCTTCATCTGCTTCCTGACTATCCTCATCTTTATCCAAGTCTCCCTCCATTGTTCTCACATCTTCTTTCTTCAGATTTTTCAGATCTTTCGGAGCCTTGTCTAACATAGCGTCGATCGGTGAGTCTGGATGCTGTTTTATGAAGCTCCTACCCAATGAATCTGCACTTGAATACACTTTGCCCAATGTCCGTATCAATAACGCATAATTTTTCTCTTGCTTACATGTTTCCAATATTTTCAGAAGTTTCTCTTCAGTAATATATGGCACTTCCTTATCTAAACATAAAATACAATATAATTAGGCTAAAATAATGTTCTGGAGTAAAACAAATGGGATTGTGCAACATTTTGTCCTGGAAATCAGCTATCCTGACTCAGGTTTCTCATGGTTTTCCTTAGGCCCCCTTTCCAATTCATTATTCTGCCCATCACTTGAAGCTATAAAATGCAAATTGCTGGCAGCATTATTAAATAAACCACAAACTAATAAGTATAGCCTACCTTTTGAAGAATGTGTTGTGGACTGGCTATCAAGCCTTGAATTCTTTGGAATACCAGAATCAGATTCAGTTGTATTGTGTGTTGGTGAAATCTTTGATGAACCAAGTCTTGAGTTACCATCATCTGATCTTCCATTCTCATTGTTTCTGCTTGTTAAATCTGACTGTGTTCTGGCAACTTTGGTTGGTTGGGCATCACAAAGCTTAGCTTCTAGGGAGAAAAGTTGGATAGCTTGTGCAGCAGCCTGATTTGGCGTCAAATTCTTTACCTGAAATTAAATATAATTAATTAAGAATGTTCTAAGTGGAAAACAAACACTTCATTATTCTCTACACCCAACCTGAAACAAATCTTACTTTTCCGCTTGATGCACAATACTCATTATCACAGTTGGAGTTGCCACAGCCATCTATCAGCTGATAGAAGTATCTTTCAATTAATTTCTTAGCTGCAGCTCTTTTCATTGTATCAGTTTCTACTGGCAAACCACTATTTGGTGAAGGAGACAGCTCTGGTGATGTCCTTACAGCAGTCGAAGAAGCACTTGCAAGAAAACAATTACATCAGTAATAAGGTTTATAACAAACCATGTTACAGATTCTCTACAATTAACAATTTTTTATGTAAGTTATAGGTTTACCTTTAAGGATTTATGAAAAGTACGTACTGTATGCAGCTGAACATGTCCACTTTAATGAACGAGTTCAACCTAAGAATGACACAGCAGCACTCTAAAACCATAGAATATACACCATCATACAGAATTATCCAAGAAGAAATAAAGCTGCTGTTGCTAATTCCAATCTAATCAGATATATTTGTAAGAAATCCAAATGTCAATCAAAACTGTCCAACTGTAGGGTATATCTGAAGTAAGCTTTATGTATGTACCTTGAGGCTTCACCGTCGCCTGTTCCGAATATCTTATCCTTTGAGTTCATAGAATACTGATACTTATTCAACACAGCAATAATTTTTTACGTAAATTGGTTAGGATGCGTAGAAAATAGAGTAGTAATCTTGATAAATATCCCTATCTGCGTACTTTTCATCAGTACTACACAAACGTTATTAATTTTGTTACGGACCTGCAAAATATTTATGATCGATAAGTACAGCCAGGTAAACGTCTTCAATTACGCCATCTTAGATATGGCTGTCATTATGTTGGTAGCATTTACTACGCAAATGCCCTTTCGATGAAGTGAAATTTCTCTCGGTATCCAGTAATATGTGACTTGCTTACGATGTACTGAACCGTATTAGGATTATTCAAAAGTAGAAGACTTGCTCGATCTCAAAATCTGTTTTTCCTAAATTTTATTACAGGGAAACTTATTGTTTGATAATTAATGACACAACAATTTTGAGGAGACTCTCCCAAATCGCAATACATGTGATATATCGTACCATCTAAAACGATTTTTATTCTATGCACAGGTATCGATATAAGCACGGCTACCACAGATCTGTGCAATAGACGAAGTGGAAACGCGCCAATTTTTGAAGCTTCCTAATTCTGAAGGTATGAAGCCAAGGGAAACGTATTATATAATTTATAAGGAAATGTTACTAAAACAATTTTATTCGTCTCTTTAGCCCATCTGCACTAATACTAACTCTGATATCTTGGTAGTTCTACAGAGATCAGCACAGCTTCTTTTCTTCCACCAGCTAGTGAATTCTTGCTCTCATTATCATTTGTAGTGAACATAGAAAAATTCCAAATAAACTCAGATATCCACAATATAAGTACAAGATACAGAGAACCAGAAAACTTCTCAGGCATTCTAATCAAAATTAGGACGTCTCACCACTGAAATGATAAATATCACGGTAACAGAAAATGAAAGAATCCACAAGAATTAAAGAGAGACAGGTACTTTCTCCATTTAGTTGCAACCAGGGA